AAAGAGAACTTAAGACTACCCCTGTATTGCTTCTTCTGACCACCATGTGAATGCTTGCCCTATGTGAGTTCTCCATAAAATAGTCTTTTTGGCAAGCATATATTTGGCATTCAAACAACATAGCCAGCACATCAAAGTTACACCCTCTGAAACAGAATTTGAATGCTTGGCAGTTTAGTTCAAGAAAGGACCTCAGTGTCTGGTATCTTATCCTGTCAGGGAATCTTCAGAATCTTCCTAAGACAATTCAAATGGAAGTGACTCAGCTTCCTAGCATGGTGCTGGTATACTGTTCAGGTTTCACAAGCATACAACAATGAGGTCAGCATAATGGCTCTGTAGACCTTCAATCTGGTAGTCAGTCTAATACCTCTTGTCTCCGATACTTTCCTTCGGAGCCTCCCAAACACTGAGCTAGCTCTGGCAATGTTTATGTCAACCTCATCATCTATGTACATCCCTGGAAAGTACACAACCAAGGTAAGTGAACTTATCCATAGCATTCTAAATTTTTCCATTTGCTGGGGAATGATGGTTCCACATATGGATGGTGTGGTGGTGGCTGATGGAACACCTATGTTTTCTTGGTGTTGTTAGGCTAAAATTAGCACAAACAGCAGACAGTCTATCCATACTTTATTGCATCTTAGCTTCAGAGCACTCAATGCAGCCTCTGAAGCTGAGATACAACAAAGTATGGATCCCAAAGAGATCATAAAAAGGGGGAAAGGACCTACATGTGCAAAAATATTTATAGTAGCCCTTTTCATGGTGGCAAAATATTGGAAATTGAGGGGATGCCAATCAATTGGGGAATGGCGAAACAAACTGTGGTATATGAATGTAATGGAATACTATTGTGCAATAAGAAATGATGAACAGGCAGATTTCAGAAAAATCTGAAAAGACTTGTTCAAACTGATGGCAAAGTGAAATGAGCAGAAGCAGGAAAACATTGTATATAGTATCAGCAACATTGTGTAATGATCAGCTATGAATGACTGAGCTCTTCTCAGCAATACAATGATCCAAGGCAAGTACAAAGGACTCACAATGGAAAATGCTATCCATATCCAGATAAAGAACTAATAGACTCAGAATGCAGATCAAAGCATATTTTTTTACTTACTTTATTTTTCCTCATGGTTTTATTTCCTTTTGATCTGTTTCTTCTTGCACAACTGTGATGAATATGGAAATGTTTTACATGATAGCACGTGTATAAACCATATCAAACTGCCTACCATTTTCAGAAGAGGAGAAGGGAGGGAGGGAGAAAAATCTGGAACTCAAAATCTTGTAAAAATAAAGCTAAAAGTTTTTCTTAATATTTAATAAAATTTTCTTAATATTTACTGTTTCATAGCACTTCTTGGGGAAAAAATAAAATACTATTTAAATTTTTTAAATGCATATTACAAAAATAAAATCTTAAAGATACATATATATGTATGTTTGGCCTACATCTCAAGAGGGAGCCTCTGACATGAGAGTTACATACATATTGCCTTCCTTATAATTTGACTGTTTTCCTCTATCTCCCCAACTGAATTGTAACCTCCTGAAGGACAGTATCTTTTACTATTCCCAACCTTAGTACAGTGCCTTAAATAGGCACTCAATGATTCTAAATGTATTTTATTTTCACAAATAAGAATAAGAAAATGTTTATTATTCAAAAATATTATTCTGCTACATTCTACTAAAACAAATGTCAAAGTGACCATTAAATGTTCACACCCTTTGGCTCAGAGATCCCACTGCTACATCAATATACAAAGGAAATAAAAAATAGAAAGGAGGGCACTATATTTAGTCAAGATATTAATAGCAACCCTTTTTTAAAGCAGCTGAGCACTGGAAAAAAAGTAAGTTCCTATTATTTAGGGAATAGTTTAAAAAACTGCAGTAGTATATGAATACCACAGGAATATTATTATACTTTAAAATGAACAGAATTCAGAGAAACATGGGAAGAATTGAATAAATTGATACAGCACAAAAAAAAAGCAGAAACAGGAAAAAATATACACAATGATTAAAAGAATGTTAATAAAAACAACAAAAAAATAAAACCAAAAGCTGGGTAATTATAATAACATATCCTGGCCCAGAGAAGAAATGAGAAAATACTTCTTCCTTTTCTTAGAGAGATGGGAGACTACAGGTGTGGAATGTTTTATGTGCTATTACATGCATTTTAGCCATTATTTTTTCTTTGTAAAAGGGTAAACTCCATTCAGAAATGACAGATGTAAAAACTTAAAAGGCATCAATAAAACTTTGCGATAAAAAAAATTAAGCATTTTACATATAGCACAGATAATAATTTGGATTAGAAGCCTATGATGTGGTGGAAAGAAAACTGTATCCTAATACAATCCTATATAATATATAACTATGATCCTAATTCAGAAAAATTAGTTTCTAGTTTTAGCTCTACTACTAAATAGGCATCTGACTTTGCCCATGACATTTCAGCTCTCTGAAACTCAGTCTCATTATCTGCAAAATAAGGGTGTTGAATTGTACAATATTGTAATATAATATAATATAATATAATTATATAATAACCTCTATGGTCCACTCTAGCTCTATGACTGTGAAATAAGTTTCTTGAAAACAGAATCAAGATCCCTGGTCTGTGCCCTTCCCCTCATATTCTCTCTTTTTTTTCCTTTTTTTATGAGGTAATGGGGTGAAGTGACTTGCCCAGGGTCACATAGCTAGTAAATATCAAGTATCTGAGGCCACATTTGAACTCAGGTCTTCCTAAATCCAGGGATGGTGCTCTATCCACTGCACCATCTAGCTGTTCCTCCCTTCATATTCTCTAATGTGCTCAGTGGTCCCATGCTCTTTCCCAATCAAAATTTATCTCAGGTTTTGAACTTGAGATTGAACTGAAATTAATTTATACTAAATGATTGGAAATACCTTACAAAGTGTAGGTGGGTAGGGGCTGTTACAGGGTAAGACATGTAATACCTGCTAATAGGTATCTGACTCTTAGGCTCCTCTGAAAGGCAGGTGGAATCTTGGAGCCCTGCTTATAGGCTGCTGCTGCCATAGCTAACTTTCCTCTCTCCACTGGTTTTAGCAAACTCATTTTCTGCAGGAAGGACAGTGAGCCTAGCACCCATCCCCAATTTTATAAGTGCTAAAATTTCAGGAAAATCAAAAGAAGATCATAAGAAAAAACTGAAGGATACTTTACCTAAAGAAATGAAACCTATAATAGTATTTCAGGCCACAGCTAACAGATGGAAAAAAGGTTTTGTTTGTTTTTGTGTTATACTGTCTTTTGATGAAGAGCAGGAGGGGTCTGAGGTCCTGGTTCTTCTGAACTATCCAAGCACCACTCTCTCCTCCTAATGAATAACTAAGAACTGATACTTTTTGTTTTACACACACAAACACGCAAAATATTTGCAATTATTATGTAATAGGGATAGTGCATGCAGAGCTGCCCCACTTAAACTTACACACTTTACTTACAGCTAACTACACATGGCTCAGCACTTCAAAGGACTTGACACTTGGATTAGAAGCTTTAAGTGATCCCTTGGAATTCCCCTTTGCATGGTGGCAGCAGGAGGGAACAGGGTGACTTGTCATTTTAAAAGGACAGAAACCTTCCGACACTCTCTTTCTGACTCTAGAATATGTGACAAGTAGTAGTTCTCCTATCATGGGTTTCCTACAAAGAGTGGGGAAGGGGTGGAACTTTTCCTCTCATGCCAGACATGTGGCATCTGCCACACACAAGGCGTGTACGGGCTTCGCTAGGGAAATTGTGCCTGAGCCTTGAGGCCCCCAGATGTCTTGTCCACTTTGTGTTTCCTGACTGTAGAAGACTGAATAGTGATCCTGAAATTTATATGTCCAATTTTGAAGTCAATTTTGTGTGTTCAAGAAGTTAGACATTCTAAGTTCCTGAGTAGACTGACAGCAGAGAGAGTTTCTGTATTGGAGAGGATATCACTGACAGGAAAAGAAGCTCAGTCCCAGACTTGTATTGCCAAAAAACCAAATTCTCTAGAGGGAATTTGTTAGACAATGCAGAACAAGGTGATATTCAAAATGTCTACTTGACAGTCCCACAAAGTACATCAAGTTTTAGTGTTGGCCTTGAAGAAGAATATAAACAGTTATATTATTACTTTATCCTAGTATCGTCTTTGTATTAAGTATTTCTTTTGTGCATATGAAATAAATAGCTGCCCCATTATCCTAGTATCATCTTTGTATTAAGTATTTCTTTTGTGCATATGAAATAAATAGCTGCCCCATTTCTGAGTCATACTGTATATGGTATACCTTTCAACGCCCATTTTACAGACAGCCTAGGCATGAACCAAAATCTAAGCTTCAAGATATTTTTCCCTGGGGCACCATGGTAACACCACAATGAGCCCAAAAGTTTGAGAAGACTGATCCTTATTTTAGGTGGTCATGCTCCCTCAAGCCTGAAGCTGGTCTCCATAGGCAAGGGTCCAGAGCAGAGGGGACTCTTAAGAGAGAGTGCACAGAACCCCAACTCCTTGGATCCAGGAACATTTTATAGTCATTATGATTGTTATATTCCATTTAAGCAGGCCTCTCAGATCCCCATCCCCTCACTTTGAAAAGTCTTTCAATTTACTTCACCTCTCTGTGTATTGATATCCTTATCTAAAAAATGAGGGGCTAGACTATATGACAGGACGCCTCTTCCAGCACTAAATTTGTGATCCTATGAAAGTGATTTGCCCAAGGTTATACAGTTCATAAGTGGTTGAGCTAGGTCTTCCAAGTACTACATTCTTTCCACATTATGTTATACTAGACATATAACCTACCAACAAGTGAAAAACTAGCAGGGGAAATGAAATGACATTGCCATCTAGTAGATGATCAAGTGGAAACTAAGCTGGAGAATATAAAACTTTCACTGTGGTACAAAATTCTTTCTTAACCAAAAGTATTCAATGAGGCATTTTCTTCTTTTAGGGACTTACCTTACCACTCTCATCAAATTTTCCAACTTTGGAAAACCATTCTTGGGAGCAGAACCAGGTAGGCATGATCACTGTTGGTCCATAGGAAGTAAACACCTATATTAAGAGAATGAAGGAGTTTCATTATAGAAATATAGAAATATATGTATATGTGTGTATATATATATATATACACATACATATATATATTCATATAGAGACTATCAGTCAATCAACAAGCATTTGTTTTGTACCTACTATGTGCCAGGCACTGAGGACAAGAAGACAAAAATGAAATCGTATTTGCTCTCAAGAAGGTTACATTCAAATAGGCAGTATGATTAGCACCCATTTCTCTTATGACCATTTCAGAAAAGAATAAGTGAATTTCAACTGCTCTTTAAGAACATTAGAACTACAAAGGATTTTAGAGTTATTCCAATCCCTTTAATTTTACTTATATAAACTACATAGCATTTTGTAAATGTGAACATGAGAAAATTGAGGTCCAGAAAGATGTGGAGTCATTTGCTCAGAGGCACAGAAAAAGTTAATGGCAGGGTAGGAACTAAAGACTACATCACTAGCACCTTTTCAAATGATAATAATAATTCCAGTTTTAAGAAGCATATAAGAAACATATAGGGACTAGACCTGTTATAGGTATAAAGAACTCCTAGGTAAGGGAACTTTATCAATGGAGGGTGGCATCTTCTCTTTTACTTACAGTCTTAGCTGCCTAGAGCATTGAGAGATTAAGCTTACTCAGGGTCACACAGCTAGTATGTGTCCAAGGCTGAACTTAAAGTTTTCCTCGTTTTAGGATCAGCTCTCTATACACTACACCATACTGCACTCTAGTACAAGCAGAGTTCAGGCTGCATGAAATCTCTTTTAAATGATGGGTGCAAAAAAAAAAAAAAAAACCAAAAAAGAATCAATAAACCTTTTTTTAAATTACAGAAAGAAAATTCATAATCCTTACATTCAGAGTTCCTTACATTCAGTATCAAAAACTAGCTTAAAAAAAAAAACTTTAAAAGGAAGCAAATGTTGTGGCAAGCAATGTGAACATAGCCACTCATTTTCTATCTTTCAAATCATAACCACTTCTACAAGGAATAAATACCAATACAGCCAGAAATTATACATAATGTTTTCTGCCTTAAACATCTCAACCCAAATCAAGTAGTAAGAATTTCCAGATACACAATTATTATGAAGTAAATAAAATATTCATCCAAAAAAGGTTTATAGTATACTTAGCAGTATCACAGGGTAAGCAGCAGGAGCTCTCAAGAAAATCTTTTGCAAACCTTGAAAAGATCCTTTCAGAAAAATAACTTCAGTGTTTTGGATATCTTGAAGTATCAATTTCCTTCTTATTTGAATCTGGGGGAACCACAGAATGATGGTGGTTGGTCCAATATCACTGTACATTCTCCATGATATCTTTTATCAACTGTTGTCACTTGATTCTATTTTTCCTCCCTTCACCTGTATCAGTTAACAAATACTCACCGAGGTCCCAAAACTTAGAAATGCATCTGATGGGTCACCCAGTCCTACTCAATGTTACTCAAATTTGGCCCTTGTTTTGCCATCACCCTAGTCCTATCACTTCATATCTGGATTATTAAAATTCTAATAAAACATGAGAGGAAGAATGGCAGAGTAGATAGAAAAACAGCCTTTGAAGCAGAAGATCTTGGTTAAGTACAATCTATAACCTTGGGCAAGTCACTTAACCTCTCAGTGCCCCAAGCAATTCTTTATGATAAGTTGCAAGGTCCCTATCTACTAGTTTGTATCCCCCAGTGCCGAGTACACACTTTTTAGAAAATAAGCATATATTAAACATCTACGGTGTATCTGTCGAGCACTATGCTAAAGACATTGCAAAATTAAGCGTGCAATAGAGTTTATTAACTCCCTGCTCAAGACTTACTCATGTAGGTAGCCTGTCTGAATCATACTCCACAACAATTAATTCAGAGAAATTTCCCTTATTCCAAATTCCTTCTGCGTATACTTTTTATCCCACTCCTCATACATCATAGCATTTAAAGGATCGTAAGGGACTTCAGAGATCCTAGACCCACATCCTTATTTTACAGATGAGGAAACTGAGGTCCAAGAGTAAGAACTGGTCATCTAGTGTAGGTTTTCTAACTCTAAATCCGATTCTCTAGTTGTCTCCCTAATGACATTCATTCAATGAGCATTAAAGGACTTCACTTTCTTAAGATCCAATAGAAAGACAGAGACAGACGGACACATATACAGGATATTCAATAAATACATTTTTTGGATTCAACTGCACTGAGTTGTTCTTTTAATTGTAAAAGGGATCAAACCAACATCTTTTTAAAAACTGAGCAGATCTCCATACCTCTAATGTCATCAGAAAAATTCAACAAACATTTGTCAAATACTTCTTTATGTACAGAATACTGTGCTAAGTGCTGTGAGAAATATAAAGTTTATATAAAAGGTAGCTGGTCTTATGAAATTTATAATCTAATAGGTAGATATGAAGTATACACAAATAACTATAGAACAAAGTAATACATGTTCAATAAATAAGATAGGAGGCAAGATAAATGCTTTATGAGGAAAATACAAGGAAAATAAAATTACCAAGGCAAGGGTTCTTAACCTGTAATCCATGGACCTCAAAGGGTCTGTGGATAGACTTCAGGATTGGGGGGAAAATGGGGAAACCTAGTTTGTAAACTTGAATGGGAAAAATTTCATATTAATTTTCACTAACTACTAATTGAAAATTACTATTTTAATTATGAATTTAAAAAGTACTATTATTCTGAGAATGGGTCCAAATGTTTCACCAGAATTTTAAAGGGGTTCCCAACACATAAAAGGTTGGAGAGCCTCTGAGCACGGGGAGCCAGAGACAGTTTCAAAATTCAATTCAATAAACATTTATTAAGCGCCAACAGTGACAGGCCCTGGGCTAAAATACAAAAAGAAGTGAAAGACAGTCTCGGACCTCAAGGAGATTACAATCCAATGGATGAGATAACATGCAAACAAATATATACAAAGCAAGCTATACACAGGATAAATACAGGAAATAATTAAAAGAAGGAAAGCACTGGAATTAAGAGGGGTTATGGAAAGTTTTCTGTAGAAAATGGGATTTTAGCTGGGGTTTCAAGGAAACCGGGAAGGTCAGTAGTCAGAGCAAAGGAAGGAGAACATTACCAGCATGGAGAATAGCCACAGAAAATGCTTGGAGCTGAAGGTGGAGTTTCTTGTTCATAGAACAGCCAGAAGGCCAGCATTACTGGATCAAAGAGTCCATGCTGGGGAGTAAAGTGTAAGAAGACTGGAAAGGTAAGAGGGGACTAGGTTATGAAGGACCTTGAATTACAAAAAGATCATTTTGTCCTGGAGGCAATAGGAAGCCACTGGAGTTTACCGAGTAGGAAGGTGACATGATCAGACCTGCATTTAAGGAAAATCATTTTAGTGGCTGAATGGAGGATAGATTGGAGTGGGGAGAGACTTGAGGCAGGCAAATCCCTCAGCAGGACATTGCAATAACCCAAGCAAGAGGTGATGAGGGCCTGAGGTGGCAGTATCAGAGAAGAGGGCATATTCAGGAAATGTAGCAAAAGTGAAATTGACGTGGCTTGGCAACAGTTTGGATATTGGCACAGTTGGCATTCAAGTCATCAGGAACTAGAAGATGGTTTTATAGAAACAAATTTGTCCTTTCTAGCTCTGACATCCTATAACTAAATTTTTCTCTCTTGTTCTTTCTTTTCAGTGTAAAATCTTTTTGATTTTATTTATAAGATTCTAGTTACATACATTTTTACTTAGGCATTCCACTCCAGCCAGGAGGCATTCATTCCTATATTTTAAGCCATTGTTTAGAAATCTAAAAATTCTTCTTAGATACCATCTTCTTACCCAGATGTTCATATCCCAAAATTCTACATATACCTTCTAAGGTTTTAAATTTCTTACTTAAGACTTCATAATCTTTAGAAAAGCTTTCTAAATTAATTACAACACTATCATTTTTTGCATATGTAAATCACAAAAAGTAGAATTCAGTAGCAGGCTTGACAGGTCAAAACGGTCACAGGAGCAAAGAAAACACTGTGTTCTATGAACAAAACAGAATTGTAGTAGTTCAAAAGGAACGTGAGATGAGCAAACTTAGAGACATTTCTACTCCAAATCTTCATGTGGACTATTTGTACCTGACCTGTGGTAGAGCTGTTCAAGCTTATATTGGTCTGATCAGCCATGGTCAGACACACTGTACCTTGACTCCAACATAGTAATGTCATTTTGGTCCTCTTTGAGAATGAAGGACAACAACCAGGAAGGACAACCAACCAACCAACTCTGATTCCCTAAGGAATAATCTTTTTTTTTAAAAGCCATAAAGTTTCAAAGTAAAAACAAAGAAGTAAAGTTACATAAAGGGGCATAGGAAATATTGACCTGTTAAAAGGTTGAAGGATGACAGATCATGCTTACATGAGAAATGAAGGAAGGCAGAATTTTTATTTTATCAATCTAATATGGGGGATACAGTGATGTAACTGAATTAACTGAATTAAAGGGTGACAGGTGAATGCATCAGACTAAATAAATTAACGGTTCTTGGGCAGAGTGGAGACATCATGAAAATGATGTTTTATGAAGATTAAACTGATAACAAGTATATATGTTATGCACCCATCTAGACCTTTAACTGCTTTCCTAGTTACATATCTATATCTATCTATCTATCTATCTATCTATCTATCTATCTATCTATCTATCTATCCACATCTAGACCTATAACTGCCCACTCCATTCTGGTCACCATATTAGTTCAGGATATGCTGTGTGGACACACTGGAATATCATATCTATCTTCTCGTCCCTACCAAATCACTCATCATCTTAAATTTGTCTTCTCAAATTCACTATAAATGGACAAAAGTCTAAAAATATTTTAAATGTTTATTACTAATTATGACATTGTAATATTACCCTATGTCCAAAGCAGAGCAAGCCAACAATCAAATTCATCAATCTTTGAGAAACAGTAACTTATCTTAACTAAATCATGTAAGTCCAGACAAGTAATAAATATACCTACATGGAGAAATGAGCCAATTCAGCAGTGTTATTATTAGGTGTCTTAACTTATACACACGTTCCAACTAGATCTTCACGACCTAACCTGGATAACTTCACCACTCCCTGGACACTCCTGTTCTTTATGCGTTAACTCTCCCTATTAGAATGTATAAGCACTCTGAACTAAATGGAGGCAGATACCTACATTCCATATACCTACCGCAGCAAAAACCTGTAATTCACAGCAGACCAAATAATGATCCAAGAAATCCAACGAGAAACTACAGTGATTTCTACCCCAGAACAGCCTAAGATAAGCTAGGACTACATGCAAAAGGAAAGGGAACTGCCATAATAGTCAGCAGGCTAAGATAAGCAAAAGACCACAGACACATATAGCTTGAAAGACTCTGTCAGGAGAAAGCAAGAGTGTGGGGCTGACATAACCAACAAGATGGAAGACTAGACATTTTTTCCAATTCTTACAAACTCTCAAACTTTTCCTAAATCAGAATGAAAAGATAAAAAATTGATGCTGTCTCCATAGGTTAAGACACAAAGAAACCAAACTCAATGAATTAATTGCAGAGAAGGCTAATACCTAACACACACTCAGCATCCTCTCCCCCATCAGTCCCTACCTTGCACAACAGTACCCAAGGACTTACACTCTGGAATCCATTAAGCAATTCTATTGCTGCTGCTATCTACCAACAATTCTCCTGACTTCACTCCACCATTCTGTGGCAACAAGCAACAGAACTCAACTCTCACCCCCAACCTGCATCTCACTGTGAGGAGGGGTAAAAGAAAGCAAGCAGCTTGCCCTGCATAGAGTGACAGTGCATGCAATCACATAAAATAGTGCTCAGCCAGATTTTATATAATTTGTTCTAAATTATCAATTTTCCTTGCCAATATTGCTTCCCTAGCTTTCTCCATTCTGTACTTTTTGTTTCATTTCTTCTAGCTATTTCTGCAGTCTCTGTAGCCAGGGCATTTCTTTCTCTGAGGTTTTACTAGGATTTCTTGTAGGGCTGCTATTTTCTTCAGGGTTTATCCCTTAGGCATCTCTCAAATCAATGTATTTCCTCATGGTGTTCAGTTTTTTGCTTGGTTTGTTCATATCATCTACCTAAGTATCTAGTTTGAGGAGTCTGAGTTTGTGTCAAACCCTGAAAGTGAGAGGCATGGGCAAGGTCTGCCTGGTCCTGAATATAGTGATAGGCTCTACCTGGTGGAGTTCATGTTGTCCAAAGATTACAGGACCTATTCCTGCTATAGACTCTTCCTGGGTTTCCTCCCTTCTGCTGCTGGGCTCAGGGCCTCCTCCAGGCCTCCAATCTTCAGAAACTACTCAAGTTGGATTTTGCCTATGACTTTTCTCCCATACCTAGCTAGGCTAGGGCCACTAGCATCTTTTTGGACCTGCTCCAAACACCCTGAGGTTTCTCTCTTGCTGGGTTCTAACAGCCATGGGCTTAGGGAAGGCTCTGATTAGGTTGAGCTTGGTCACTAATTCAGGCAGGTCATATGTTGAAACAGGGAGTGCTTCTACTCAGGTGAAACACATCATAGTTGCTCTCTCTGGTTGGGCTCCTGGAGCCATGGGCCTTGAAGAAAGACTGGAGTGGCCTTAAGTTAAGGCAAAAAAGTTTAAAGCCTCCAGGGGCCACCTGGATTCTGTCCTTTGTGCTGAGTCCTCAATCTACCCTGGCTTTTCCATTCCAGAATTTCTGCAGGACTCTGAGTGTCCATCCCTCTGTGGATTCCTGGGTTGGGTAAGGGAGTCAAGAGATGATTCTTTCTATTCTTATCAGACTGGTGAATCTCTAATTCCAGATGGAATGTTTTTGGAGGATCAGGGATTTCTCACCTGACCTTACTAGGAGCTTCTTACCTATAAAATAACAGATCAGATAAAAAAAAATTACCATGGTTATTATAAAACAAAGTAAAACCTAAATATGGATGCTTTTTGGTATTTCTATATCATATCAATATTTATGTCCAGGTCCATACCTGGATAAATATAGATTAGAGAACTAAACTGTAAAATTTCAGAGTAACATAAAATGTGAACTACATGAGGCTCCCCACTTCTGGATACTGTATTCATTCAACAATGACTAATAAAAATCTGCATTTCCTGTATCCATTCTTTTGCACTGGACATCCCCTATGCTTGGAATGCCCTTCCTCATTTCTGCCTCACAAAATCCCTCACTTATTTCAAAAACCCAGCTCAAACATCACTTTCTCTGCCCTTTTCTGATCCCCCCATATGTTATCGTTCTCCTTATATTTAATTAACCTCTATTTATTCTGTAAATATTTGTTCCTCATATAGTAATATGTGTATATGCTATGTCCACCAATAGAATGTTACCTCTTTGAGAGCAGGGATTGTTTCACATTTTGTATTTGTATCCCTAATATCTAATCAATGCTAGCACATAGTAGGTATTAAACATGCTTGTTTATTGATTTCCATTCACTTTAATTGCTCATCAATGGCTTCTGGTTATGTCTGAATACACACAAACAAAAGCCTTTTCTTTTACAGTCTCCTCAACTTGCCCTCTCTCCTTCATAATATCTTTCTCTTGCCTTCACGTCTTTGTCTTAAAACAATAAAGAAGTCACTATAACCAAAGAAACACTTGGAAGTGGCAAAAGATAAGGATTTTACCACCTCCTGCAGACCCTTAAATTTCAAAGTAAAGAGTCACTTCCACCAGAGGGTGCCACCTTCTCAACACTTCCTTTACCCCCTCAACCTTTCAAAGTATATACAGAATTAGGACACAGTTAGGGTATCACCTGGCAATGCATTTTAACACACAGTTCCTAGGACACTATCTACTAACAAGGACTACCTGCATAGATAAATAAAAAAGATAAAATGCTAAATACCTGAGTGATAAGTTGTTCAGATGTTAGATTATTGATCCAACGAGTATAGCGCTCAGTTGAGTTCGGGGGTTCTCTCTTCACTTGGCACCCTATAATCTATATTTTAAATGAAATTGAACAAAAGAAAGTACATAGTTTGTATATAATAAATCATATACAGATAGCAAAATATTTTAAATTAAAATCAGTATAAAAGAATATTCTCGGGCTTTCCAAAGTTTTGTGATATTTCTCTGTTTGATGTCATAACATAAAGAATGCAGCAGCTTCCAAATTTTATGGTTTACTAATAATTTTTATTATTTATGAATTATTTATTATTAATATTTATTATAAACCATCTAAATGTATGCATTTTCAATGGCTTCTTATTAATATAATTTTAAAATTTGGTGCTCTCATATATGGAGTATGGGATATTTGTCACAATGCTTTTAAAGTGCTAAGATTTTAAATTTATTAAAAAAAAAAAAACAAACCACACACATTAAGACTGCTACAGAAAGGAGTCAATTTTTACCAGATCCTCAAACCAACCCCCTGAGACCCATTGGGGTATTATAATTATAAGATCAACAGACATAGTACGTGTAGGTTTTGTAACTTACAGTGCTATGGTATTAGTTCTTATTATCCAAGATGACAATTTATTAATGTATACACACAAGAAATGAAGGAATTATGAAGTCTTTACTGTAATAAAAAGCTGTCACACATAAATTCAAATTAACAAGCTTTACTTCAACAGCTGTAATTTTCTATTTCCTTCCAAGAAATTTTCAATAATATATCCAGTGAATACCTAAAAGAATGTAAAAAAATCTCAGTTCCAAATACCACTGATATAAAAAAATTTGGCATATCTTCGTGGTTTATAATTCTAAATAACTTTCCATTTATTTTTTTCCACAGGACAGATTAGTTTATTACTGTTGAAAAATAAAGTTCCTTCTTTTCCCCTTGTCCATTCCTCCTCATCTCATAGCACTTTCTGCCACTATCTCTTTCACCTCTATCTCATATGAACAAATAGTTGCTCCTTGCCAGGCACACTCCTCTATTAAGTGATTCTATTCCATTCCTTCTTTTCTAAGAGATGACCCCCTTTAACATCTCCACTGTTTTCAATCTCTCCCTATCTCCTTGCTGCTTCATTAGTTCCTGTAAACACACCCATGTCTCCTCCATCCTCAAAAAACTCTCACTTGATCCATCTCCACTAGCTATCATCCTATATATTGCCTCCCTTTTGCTGCTAAAGTCTTCGAGAAGGCTATCTGCAATAGATGCTTCCATTTCCTTTCCTCTCAGTCTCTCAAATCTTTCCAGTTTAAGCTTCCAACTTCATCATTCAACTGAAACTGTTCTTTCAATTTGCCACAAATCAAATGGTTTTTTCTTAATCCACATTCTTCTTGACTTGTCATCCTCTTTTCTTGAATGCTCTTTTCTCTAGGTCTTTGTGACACTACTCCATCCTAGTTCTCATCTTACTTGTCAGACTTCTTAGTCTCCTTCACTGGATCATCATCCAGCCTCTAACCTGGTTTCTCTTCTCTTTTCCTTCTATACCATTTCATTTAGCAATCTCTTCAGTTCCCCTGGATTTGATTAACATTTTTATGCTGATGCTTCTCATATCTACTTATTCAGCCCTCACCTTTCTCTTGATCTCCACTTTTGTATCTCCAACTGCCTATTAGGTATCTCAAAATAGATGTCCTGTAGATATCTTGAACTCAACATGTCCAATATTGAATGCGTCATCTCTCCACTCAAACCCCTTTATTACTGTCAAAGATATCACCATGCTCCCAGTCCCTCAGGCTCTCAAACTAGGTGTCATCCTCAACTCCTCACTCTCTCATTCCATATCCAATCTGTTGTAAAGACTAGATTTCACCTTTATAACATCTTTCACATATGCTCCCTTCTCTCCTCTGACATTGCTACCACCTTGAAACAAGCCTTCATCACATCATGTCTGGACATAGCCTGCTCATTGGTCTCCCTACCACAAATTCCACTCTAGTCTATCCTCCACTCAGCCATCAGAGACCTTCCTAAAACCCAAGTCTGACTATGTCATTTCCCTACTCAATAAACTCTACTAGCTACCAATCACATTCAAGATCAAATATGACATTTCAAAGCCCTTCATAACCTCACCCCTCCCCCCCACATCTTTCCAGTGTTCTTATACCTTACACATGTTCCTTCTATCCCTTACTTACTCTTTGCTAGTGACACTGGCTTTCTTGCAGTTCCTCAAATAAACACTCCATCTCCCAACTCTGGCCATTTTCAATGGCTGTTCCCCATGTATAGAATGTTTTCCCTCTTCATCTCTGCCACCTGGTTCTCTAGCTTCCTTCAAGTCCTAGCTAAAATACCACCTCCTAAAGAAGCCTTTCCAAATTCTAGTGCCTTCCCTGTTGATTATTTCCAACTTACCCTATATAATATAGTTATTTGCATGTTGATTCCCCCATTTGACTATAAACCCCTTAAGAGCAGGAGCTGTCTTTTACCTTTCTTTGTATCTTCAACACTTAGCACAGTGCCTGGCACATTGGAGGCACTTAATAAATGTGTATTGACTGACTTGAACTCAGCTTTGGTCTTCACATTTTAGCAATATCCTCATTCCCTCTGATTAGATCCTCTGTATGGAGGGCAGAGCCAAGGGTTCTTGGGAGGAGGACCAGCATAGTCTTCCTCCCATTTCCTACCAGCTATACTGCTTTTAGAATTCTTTATATTTTCTTTCATATCACTGTACTAGATACCTTCTTTTCTTCCTTTTCCCTAACCCCTTCCTTTTCAGCTTCCTTCTGTTTTCTTCCCCCCAGCAGATTGTATGTTCCTTAGTCTTTCTTTTTATTCATATCCCTAGCACTCAGCACAATGCCTGGCACATGGTAGGCACTGGATGTTTGCTGACTATTAACTATTATTGACTAGTAAGTTTTAATTGATGTCATTTTTTTTTTTTACAACATCACAATTTCACCAGTATTCTTCCCTCTACTCCCACTTCTGCAAAGGGATGAGGTAGAAATGTCTTGTTTTAGCTCTTTTTATTTGTTCTTTTAAATTTTGCAACACTGACTTTTGAATTTTGGAGTATGTGGCTGATCTTTCTCTTTACATTTTTGTAGAAAATGTGTGTATTGTGCTTTTTTTTAAAAAAAATTGTTTACTTCAATCTGCAACACTTCATGTAGATCTTTCCGTGTTTCTTTATATTCATCTCATTTATCATTTCTTACAACACAGTAATATTTCATTACATTCATGTACCATAATTTGTGTAGCCATTCCCCAAATGATGGGCACCTGGTTTGTTTCCTACCAAAAAAAGTGCTACTACAAATATTTTAGTGTATATAGGAACTTTCTTCTTTCTGGGTCAGGGTATGTGCATTTAATTACTTTGTTGGCAAAATTACAAATTTCTTTCCAAAAGGATCAAATTCACAGCTCAAGCAACAACGCACCAGTGTGCATATTTCCCACAATCTCTCTTTCACTTTTTTTCATCTTTGCCAATTTGTAAGGTGTGAACTCAAATGACAGGGTTGTCTTGTTTTACATTTCTCTTATTATTAGTAACTATTATTAGTATTCTTCACTTCACAATTCTTTTAAGAATTTTTTGTTCAGGGGGGTGGAGCCAAGATGGCAGAGGGAAAGCAGTGACAGTCTTGAGCTCTCTCCCAAAGCCCTCCAAATACCTAAAAAAATGGCTCTAAACAAATTCTAAAGCAGCACAACCCACAAAAAGATAGAGTGAAACAAATTTCCAGCCAAAGACAGCCTGGATGGTTGATCAGAAAGGTATATCGCGCTGGGGTGGGAGAGGAGCGCAGTGTGGCAGTGTGGCATGGGCGTGCAGGCCACTGCGACTCTGGAGCAAGCCTCAGAGGACTGAATCGCGGGTAGCTGTGGCGGTTTCCAGACTTCTCAACCCATGAACGCCAAAGACAACTTGGAAGGTCAGTGGGAAAAGTCTGTGACTGTGGTTAAGAGAGGAGCTAGGTCTCAGCAGCAAGTCTCCAGCAGGAGCATGGCCTGGGGCAGCAACTGTTTCCTGAGCTTCCAGCCCACAAACCGAGGGGGAATCAAGTGGCTGATCAGAGGCGGATTACAAGGATCTCTTTGCCAGTGCTGAGGCAGGAATCTCATGCTTTACCAGTGCTTGGATCTGGGTCACAGTTCTGAGGGGCAGTCCTGGGACTAGGAGGAACGCTGGTGTGGGGGAACTTGTTGTGGCTGTGGAAAGGAAACACCTCACCCCTTATCATAACACCTTGGAAGAACTGAAAATTTACAGGTCCCTAGAAGTACCTCTGAAAACAGCTGTACAAACCCTCAAAGCTTGGGACAGTACACTCTTCACATTGGAAGCAGACTTTTACCTTAACAAAGAGTTTAAAACTCAAGTAATTGGCCGGGATCATGAGTAGGCAGAGCAAAAAGAGTCAGACTATATTATCTTACTTTGGTGACAAAGAGGATAAAAACATACAACCAGAAGAAGACAACAAAGCCAAAGCTCCTACATCCAAAGCCTCCAAGAAGAATATGACTCAGTCCTAGGCCTTGGAAGAGCTCAAAAGGGATTTTGAGAAGAAAGTAAGAGAAGTAGAGGAAAAACTGAGAGTGATGCAAGAAAATCATGAAAAAGAAGTCAACAGTTTGCTAAAGGAGACCCAAAAAAATACTGAAAAAAATAACACCTTAAAAAATAGCCTAACCCAAATGGCAAAAGAAGTCCAAAAAGCCAATGAGGAGAAGAATGCCCTAAAAAGCAAAATTGGCCAAATGGAAAAGGAAGTCCAAAAGCTTACTGAAGAAAATACTTCCTTAAAAATTAGAATAGAGCAATTGGAAGCTAGTGATTTTATGAGAAATCAAGACACAATGACTTTATAAGAAAAGAATGAAAAATTGGAAAATAATGTGCAATATCTCATTGGAAAAACAACTGACCTGGAAAATAGATCCAGGAGAGAGAATTTAAAAATCATTGGACTATCTGAAAGCTATGATCAAAAAAAGAGCCTAGACATCATCTTTCAAGAAATTATCCAGGAAAACTGTCCTGATATTTTAGAACCAGGGGGCAAAATAGAAATTGAAAGAATCCACCAATCTCCTCCTGAAAGAGATCCCCAAAGGAAAACTCCTAGGAATATTGTAGCCAAATTCCAGAGTTCCCAGGTCAAGGAGAAAATATTACAAGCAGCCAGAAAGATACAATTCAAGTATTGTGGAAACACAATCAGGATAACACAAGATTTAGCAGCTTCTACATTAACGGACTACAGAGCACGGAATATAATATTCCAGAGAGCAAAGGAGATAGGATTACAACCAAGAATCACCTACCCAGCAAAACTGGGTATAATCCTGCAGGGGAAAAAATGGTCATTCAGTGAAATAGAGGACTTTCAAGCACTCTTGATGAAAAGACCAGAGTTGAATAGAAAATTTGATTTTCAAATACAAGACTCGAGTGGAACATGAAGAGGTAAACAGGGAAGAGAAAATCATAAGAGACTTATTAAGGTTGAACTCTTTACATTCCTGCATGGAAAGATGATATTTGTAACTCATGAGAACTCTGTCAGTATTAGGGTAGTTGGAGGGGAAAAAATTATATGTACATATATATAGATATAGATAGATAGAGGGCACAGGGTGAGTTGAAAATGAAGGGGTCATACCTGGAGAATAAAATTAAGGGGTGAGAGAGGATTATACTAGGAGAAGGAGAAAGGGAGAGGTAGAATGGGGTAAATTATCCTACAAAAAAAAAAAGAAAAGAAAAGGCTCTTACAATGGAGGGGAAAAGGGGGAAAGGTGAGAGGGAATGAGGGAATCTTATTCTCATAGGATTTGACTTAAGGAGGGAATAACATACACACTCAATTGGGTGTGAAAATCTGTCTTACCCTACAGGAAAATGGCGGGGGGGAAGGGGACAAGAGAGTAGGGGAATGATAGAGAGGAGGGAACATTGGGAAAGGGAGTAATCAGAAGCAAATACTTCTGAGGAGGGACAGGGTCAAAAGAAAGAATAGAATAAATGGGGGGGCAGGACAGGATTAAGGGAAACAGAGTTAGTTTTTCATGGCATGTCTACTATGGAAGAGTTTTGCATAACTGCACATGTATAACCTATATTGAGTTGCTTGCCTTTTCAATGAGGGTGGGTGGGGAGGGAGGAAGGGAGAAAATTTGGAACCCAAAGTTTTAAAAATACATGTTTAAAAAAAGAAGTTTTCACATGCAACTGGGAAATAAGAAATACAGGAAATGGGGTACAGAAATCCATCCTGCCCTACAGGAAAATTAAAGGGGAAGGGGATATGAGAACAGGGGAAGAGATAGAAGGGAAGGCAGACTAGGGGAACGAGTATTTAGAACGCATGCCATCTTGGGGCAGGGGAAGGGGTGAGATGGGGTGAAAATTTGGAACTCAAAATCTTATGGAAGTAAATGTTGAAAACAAAAAAATAAATAAAAAATTACCATTAAAAAAAAAAGAATTTTTGTTCATATCTTTTGATCACTTATCTACTGAGAAATGACAACTGGTTTTTTTATATATGTATAAATAGTTTGTTAATATATGGTATAAAGGAAATGATTTTTCTCCTGAGAACTCTAGTTGTATTCCAAAAATTTTGGTCACTGTTTCTTCATTATCATTTCCTTTCACTTTTACTGTTTCTGTGATTTGTCCTTTGATCCACTCTAAAGATTTCATTGCTAAGTCTTCATTTGAGTCTATGTCTTTTGTCCTGCCCACTGAAATGATAACTATTTTTATTTTATTATAATCTGTAAAGGATGTGTTTACTATTTCTGTCTTTTTACATTTGTTTGTAATATCTGTGTCCTAACAAATGGTCAATTTTTGTAAATATTCTATGTTGTGCTGAGAAATACATGTATTTTTTAGCAGTCTCAATTTTTTTTATTTGTATCCCCAGCATTTGGAACACTGTATGGGACACAGTAGCCCTTGATAAGTGCCTATTCATTCATTCATTCATTCATTCATTCATTCATTCATTCATTCATTCATCTATGCATCCATCTTATCTTTTGTAAATGTAGATAATTTCTTTAATTAAACGGGGACTGAAGAGAGTAAATCAATGGTTGTGGGAACAGAAGGTCAAATAGTCTCAGCTCTGCAAAAATTCTTCAACCTCATCAAGTTTATTTCTAGAAGACATCTCATAAGTTATATTTCTCTAGACCAGATCATCTGATAGGATTTTTTTTAAAGAGGAAAATCTCACTGTGATGATGATCCTTAAGAAAAGATGGAAGAATTTATTCTGTAATGTCAAAATTTAACTTAGGTGAATAAAAGAGGTTTTACAATAATCACACAAAAAATAATTGAAACTATACATGCTATTTATAATCTATTGATAGATTGTTATATATCATGTTTTCTTAGCTTTTCCACCTCTTGCCACACTGGTTTCAAAGAAGCTTTTGTACCAATTTAAACCAACAATTCTTGTACAGCAACTCAGATCCACAAATTTATCTTGTGGATTAAAGCCAATCTCAATATATACTTATACTCAATGCAAGAAAAATGTTATCAATTAAAGAAAATTTTCCCACTGACTCATTAACCAGGTAAACCCCGTTTTGATTATTGCAAAAAATGAACTTAATTCAAAAAAATATTAGTAATCACTTTATTAAAAGTTAATCATGACATAGAAAAAGGATACTTACACTGTTTGGATGTTGAATGGCAGCTTTGTATTGCAATCTCACCCTCTGAGGCATCATCACATCATCCTATAATAAATAGCATACTATTAAAAAGACCAACATATTATACTTACCCACACATTAAAGTTATTTATTTGGCCATCACTTCACTAATCTCTCAGACTTGTAGATCTGGTGCCAACCTACACTCACCAAAGGAGTTTACTCATCAAGAATTCCCTAAACCAATTAAATCATAGATTCAGGAAAACCATTTTACTACATTATAGAATAAACAAAAAATTTTAAATCAGTAAAAAATCAATCTCTTTGGTCTTCCGTATATTCATATGTAAAATAAGGAAGTGAAATTAAATAATCTCCAAAATCCCTTCCAGTTTTAGCATTATGCAAGTCTATGAAAAACTATTATCACTGTGTGGTTATTTTTTTTCAAATTTTTCTCCTATTTTATGAAACTCTAATTAATAAAAGAAACAATGTCAATGATTTCAGATATAAAATGAATGAGAATATGCTTAACCTACTATAATTTCATTCAACCCATTCCTTCTGTTCCTATGGACAAGCAACAAATTAAATGCAGATTTTTTTTTTAACTGAACTAACAGCAAAGTATCTCTACTGATGTTTTATCCTATATATCCACAGTACTATTGCTAAAATAGGATAGCATTTTACAATAAAGAATTCTAACACCTTAAGATTCCTATACTATCCAAAATGTGAAATGCAGCATTATTGCCCTAAAAACTACACCTAATCATAATGCCCAAATCCTGTTAAACATCTTTAGGGATCCTATGGGGAAGGGGGTTGAGAATTCTACCTCTTGCTTCACATCCCACAGAATAACATCTTTGACTATCTATTGTTTGCCCTCAAGTTGTCACCTCCTCAATTTCAATGGAATTAAATACCCTCTGAAAGGATATTTCAGTGGTTCCCAATGTTTTTTGTTCCATGAACCTTTTTCATAAACAATAACAAAAAAAAATGTGGTATAAAGTCCCAGGATAATTTAAAATACTACTCATAATACTCTTTTAAGTGCTAACAATAACAATAATTTTTACCCCTCAAAGCTCTGACACAAAATTTATATTACATAATTACAATAAAATACAAAATTTTATTCCACATAATTATAAGATTATAAAACTAATTATAAAATAATTATAACATTTTATACGCAATATTCTGTAACAATTTTCAAAGGTAATCTAGCAAGAACTAACATGCTTGACTTCATATTAAATTCCTTTACAAATATTGTCGAACATAAGTAACATTTTTATTTTTTTGGCGAGGCAACTGGGGTTAAGTGACTTGCCTAGGGTCACACAGCTAGTAAGTGTCAAGTTTTTGGTCTGAGACTGGATTTGAACTCAGGTCCTCCTGACTTGAAGGCCGGCGTTCTATCCACTGCACCACCTAGCTGCCCCCATAAGTAACATTTTAAAGAAATAGTTAAAACATGGAAAATATTTAATATAATAATCATGCATAAACAATGTCAATACTGGCCTTTTTCATTTGAACAAAGATGTGCAATATTTGGTTCAACATCAAACACAGTCTTAAATCTAACCAGATTTACTTTATATCTAGATTTTGATTTAAAATAAGAACAAAGTAAAAATGTTTGGTCCCATAAACGTGACAGAAAATGATAGGAAAATTTTACATGCTCTTTTGTTGAGAGATAGAAATTCATATTTCATTTTTAGCCACCTAATCAATCAATGAAAATGAATAGCTACTTACAATATAAAATATTAACTTTTCTGCTGACTAATAAATGTACTTAACAGCATACATTACTTCATTTTTAACAGTGTTTTTACATAGACTAACCTCTGTAAGGAAAGAACCTCTTCAGATGTAATTTTATTCTCTTTTACCTCTGGTACACTAGCTTCAAATATAGAAACTTTCCCCAGTAACTTAGTACAGTTACCAATCCACTTGAAAATCCACCAGAGATAGGAATAGTAACATAAGTGGGTAAATTTAAATTGGAAAATAGCCTACATATTGCAATGAAAGGCAACATAAAGTTTGTTTCTGCAGAACATTTGCTCATGATGATTTGTAATGCTCATGTCCAGCAATCATGGTTTTCAAGTAGTCTGACATCTGTGCTTCAAGAACTCAAAATATTCCTAATAACTTGATTAATTATTACACAGATGATGAGGTATGATTACAGGGTAACAAAAGAGAACAAAGGAGTTATTCTGGTTCAGTGTACAGAATATAAAAAAGAACATGCACATTTACTTGACCACATGTTGGGAATCAGTTTGTGCTCAAATGTTGAACCTTTGTAGCGGATTGGAAACAATTTGATGACCGATTGAGAAACTTCAAGAATACACTGCACTTAGTCAGAAGTGGTCAGAGTATTATGTAATTCACTGTACAAACACCAAAATCACTGTATATGTGATCATGATGGTTTCAAATTACTACAGAAACAAACATATAATGCTTCAAACATGCATAAACTCATTGACACAGGAAAAATTGGGCAATTACATACTACTTAAGTCTTCATTAACGAGGTTTTAGTGTAAACCCCTTAAACAATGATCACAAGTCCCCAAGGAGCTCATAAACCACAAAGTGGAAATCACTGCACTAGAACTGGAAATCATTTTCAGGCCAAGGTAAATAGCAAAAGATAAACTAATTATCTTGGAAAATCTCCTACTCAACAAATTTGACAAATATTACTATGTGCCTTTTACTTACAAGGCACTGTATTAGATACCAGGGAAATGAAACAAAAATAAAACAGTTCCTGCAGAATTAAGCAAGCTATTTAGGCTCAGTGAAAATCATCCATTATTGTTATATTTTAACAATATTTTGTTAAATATTTACATATTTTTAAATAAATAAATATTTAAATGTTACACTTTAACAATATATTTATTTATGGTCTAGAAATATAAATCCTGTTTTTGGACATTACTTTCTTAACAAAACTATTCACTAGAAAAATCTGCCTCAATATTCTGAAACTACTGCCTTTATTCAGTAGCAGCGATGAAAATATTAGCTGTGCTACTGTTTCTTATGCAACACTTCATAATTTTTAGCAGAGCTTTCTAGATTCCTTCTGGCAGAACCATTTTTAGCCATGTGAATCACCAAAAGTAAATAGTTTTTAATCCAATCTGGCAAGTCTTAGGGATACATTCTAGATAACATGCTGCAGAAGACAGCTGGTTTCTCTATTAACAAGCTGACAAATGGGCGCTTTACTACCCCTTCATACAAAGTCATCTATTTATCTCTTCTCCTTTTGACCACTCTTAGATAATTTTCAAATTTCAGACTCTATAGATTCACATCATCACCCATAAGAAAACAAAAAGCTACAATTTTTTTTTGAGATGGGCTAGGTCCTTCCACCTTTGGGAACAGCCTCATGTCTGTTTTAGTTTAAAGTGTTACAGTGATCCTTTTTCCCATCTCAAGTGTTATTCTCACCAAACTCCTGATAGAAGTCAACATTGCCCTCACCTCTTCCTGTTTCTTCTTTTTTTCCCCATACTGAAGCAAGTCAATTTCTTTTAAGCAGGAGTGCTTAACCTTTTTGTGTGTGTGTTATATACTCAGTATGTAAAAACCTATGAATTTCTTATCAGAATGTTTTAAAATTAAATACACAGGATTACAATTAAAACTAATGGTTTGATTTATTCTCCTCAATAAATTAAAGAATGGAAAAACATTCTTTTTCCAGCTCTTCTAGATGAGAGAACAGCCTAAACTTGAGAGCACAGACTAGCCTTGGGGATCACTGCAAATTTCTTCCTTCTTTTCATACTTTTGAGAAGCAGGATTTTATTGTTCTAGCTAGTTAGTGGCTCTGGTGACTAACTCCCATGGAAAACCATTCTCACACAGTTGGCACATTCTTGCCTCTCATTAGAACCTTAACAGCAACACCTAAGTTCTGTCTTACCAACTTTCTTCTCTCTCTCAGACACTCATTGCCTTTACTTACTCTCCTCTCAATAACCATTTGAATCTTTGAAAACTGCGCTGCAAACTCACAATTCAATCAAAATTGCTCCCCTAAAAGTTGCCATTGGTGTCTTAATTGAGAAATGCAGTGGTCTTTTCTTAGCATTTTACTTACCTGATCTCTATGCAGCATTTAACTCTGATGACCAAAATCTTTTTCTATCACACATTCTTCTGAGTTTTCATCACATAGTTCTCTCTCTAGCTGTCTGGTCATTCCTCAGTTTCCTCAGTTTCCTTTAATAGACTGAGCCATGTCCAATCTCCTAACCATAGGTAACCCAAAAGGCTCTCTCCTAGGCCCTCTTCTCTTCCTACACTCTCTTTGTGATTTCACCAGCTCTGCAGTAGAAACATATATTGCTGTCTGATCCTTTGATATTTCTTAGACTCCATTTTCTGACCTGGGGTCTATCTTGTAATTGTCTTGTGACACAACTTTAATTTACTATCGAAACTTATTAACTGATTTGCTGAATCCCTGCTCCCTTCTTCTCCCTACACATATCTCTCAACCTTCCCTGAATATGTATTCTGATACATGACTATCCTCATCCTATTTCTTGGCATACATCTATCACTACTAAGATGGCCAAGATCAGAATACTGGATGAGCCTTTGCTTACCCTGCACTGGGAGAGAGGCCTCATTACTTGCGACCCTGAAGATGGGTAGATGAATGTCCTGAAGATCCCTATAATAAGCCCACTCAAATCCTGAGTCAGCAGACCAACTACTCTTATTCCCTGTTGTTTGTCCTTCATTCTTGAAGAGGACCACGACATCAGGGAGGTGATACCATGACATGCAAGTGAATTGGATTTAAATGAGGGAGGGCTATGCAAAGTCATCAGCCTCACTTTGTCCTCCAAAGCCACCTGGGTCCAGTGGCAAGATACAGATCAGGATGACTGGAGATGGTCCTCTATTCCCTATACAGTATGGTTGTCTCCTACCTTTTCATGTATTGTCTTCCCCTATTAATTATGAGCTCCTTGAGAGGCAGAGACAGTCTTTTGCCTTTCTTTGTATCTCTAGCGCTTAGCACAATGTAACACATAGTAGGCACTTAATTAATGTTTATTGACTGATTGACCATTACTTTTCAGACCCTAATGGAGACAACTCAATAACAATAACAATGAGAATAACAATGCTTCCAGCACCGTATATTAATAAGGAGATGAAGCCTGGCAACTCCTCCTGCAGTGCTACAGCCAGAAAATAAATTTCTGACAACCAAAGTCCCTGGCATTGTCAAATGGTTCAACATCAGAAAATGATATGATTTTTACCGGTGGAAATGACATTAAAGAAGAAGCATTAACATCTGTCGGGCAGTTAGGTGGCACAGTGGATAGAGCATCAGGCCTAGAGTCAGGAAGCTCTGAGTTCACATTGGGCCTCAGACACTTACTGGCTGTGTGACATCAAGTTTCCTCAAATCTAAAATGGAGATAATAATAGCACCTACTTCACAGGGTGGTTGTGAGGATCTAATTAAAAAATATTTGTAAAGCACTTAGCACAGATGACCAACTCAAAGTAATGATCTAAGACAATTCCAAAGGATTCATGATGGAAAATGCTGTCCACATCCAGAGAAAGACCTATGGAGTCTAAATCAAGATTGAAACATACTGTTTTCTCCTTTTTGTTATTGTTTTTGTTTCTTTCTCATGGTTTTTCTCTTTTGTTCTGATTCTTCTTTTACAACATGACTAATGTGGAAATATGTTTAATATGATTGAATATGGATAGCCTTTATCAGACTGTATGCCATCTTGGGAAGGGGAGAGGGAGGAAGAAAAAAATTTGGAACTCAAAATCTTGTAAAAGTGAATGTTGAAAACTATCTTTATAAGTAATTGGAAAAAAATAAAATACTATTAAGTAGGAGAAAAAAAGCCAAAGTACAGCATCCTTTGAAACTGGTTTTTTTATCACACTTCTTTTTCATTTTTTAACAAATATCTTTATATCTTTTCAAAAATATTAAACTGTACTCACAAAAAAGCACTTAACACAATATCATGTACATAGTAGCCACTTAACAAAATCGTTCCCCTCCCTTCTTCCCTTCTCTTTTTTGCAAATACTTACTAATTTTACAATACATGATAACCAAAGGTCCTATGAAATATTAGCTTTTGGATATATGATAAAACCTACTATACCAACTCCATTCTTTACCTCTCCAAAGTATACCTGTATACCATCTTTATATTTATCTGCCACTTCTTTCTTCAGATTTTGTTTATCCCACGAATGTCAAGATGGATATATTTCAGGTCCTCCATCAATGTCCATTAATTGATCATTGGACAAGGAACTCACATTTAGAGTACCCACAGTCAAATATATAAAAACTATATAATTAATTCTTAGCACCCTCTGCTCCTTCGCCCACCACTTTCAATATCACAGATATTGTCTCAGCAATCACACCTGCCAGTTATTTCAGGATCAAAGGATGTAATTCTTGTGGGCCAGGTGTCTTGAAGGGCAGTTAACTTTACTTTGCTATCTCTTTACTACCTCCTTACTTATCTCAGGGATGAACTCCCTATTAATCATTTTTGTTCTGTCATTCCTAGTGAAAAGGTCATTCTCCTTTGCAGAAAAAACAAGCAAAATAAGAATTCAGCAACTCCTCCTTCTCTCTGTGGTCAGTTATTCCATCTACCCCCAAAGAAAAGTCCTCCTCCTTCTTTGGTCCTCCTTTCTCACCTAATATAACTTTTTAAAGTCTCCTTCTTGTTGTTGTCCTTGAGAGTCCTTCACCAGTCTCAGTTCATTGAGCTTTAGCAATCTCGATACTCCCATGTCATGCTGTTATGTAAATTTTCTGTTACATGGCATTGCCTCTATCATCTGTACATTTCTTTTGAAAATTTAAGTTGGTTGGTTGTGTTCCCTGTCTACCCACATCAATTTCTTCACCCAAAATTCCATTTTTTTCCTCTTCAACAGAACAGTTTTCAATCAGTCTATAAACATTTATTAAGTGCCTACTAAGTGCCAGGCACATAGCAGCTTAGTACTAGGGGTATAAATTTTCACAAAGATAGTCCCTGCCCTCAAGGAACTTATACTTGAACAGAAGATGACAACACACAAAAGGAAGCTGAAATTCAGAGGGAAAGAGTGCAAGGAAGAGAGAAGGCACTGGCTCAGGGGAATAATGGAGTTCAAAGAACTGCAACCAGCTAGGAAATAAAGAGATGGCTGGCCTGGGAACCCTCTTTAAATGGAGGTTTTTGTGAGAAGCTTTTTACTCCATCCTCCAGCCCTTCAATGAAAGAGGCAGAGAATGAGGGTACTGATGAAGTGTAAGTACCAAGGTTAATGCAATCTCATAGAATGATGATTTTCCTGATGAAGAGGTTACTGGGTGCATTACAGACTCCAAAGGAATGAAGCCAAGTGCATGCCCATTACTCCTGGGCTTATTTAACTGGAATAATTTTAACCCCACCTGTTTCTTCAAACACTCTGAAATCTGCTTTCCTAAAATCTCTTGATTGTCAAATCTAATGGTCTTTTCTCAATCCTCATCCTTCTTGACTTCTTTGCAGCCTTTGATACTGCTGATTACCCTCTTCTCTCCAGGTTTTTGTGACTCTGTTCTCTCCTGGCTCTCCTCCTACCTACTGGATCACTGCTCCTTTGCTCAATCTTTTCTAGTTCATGCCTGCTAACTTTGAGTTTCCCACAGGGATTTTTCCTGGTTCCACTTTTCTTCTCCCTCTATACTTTCTTTCTTTCTTTCTTTCTTTTTTAAAGGCAATTGGGGTTAAGTGACTTGCCCAGGGTCACACAGCTAGTAAGTGTCAAGTGTTTAGTCTGAGGCCGGATTTGAACTCAGGTCCTCTTGACTTCAGGGTCGGTACTCTATCCACTGTGCCACCTAGCTGCCCCTCCCTCTATACTTTCACTTGAGGATTTCATCAGCTTCCATAGATTCAATTATCATCTCTATGTTGATGATTCTCAAATCTACTTACTGTCCAACTGTCTATTGGACTTCTCGAGCAGGATGCCTCAGAGACATTCTAAAATCAAGACTGAACTCATCTTCATCTCCCAAACCTCCCTTTCTTCCTAATTTTCCTATTAACTGTTGAGGGTACCACTATTCTCCCAGGCACCCAGACTCCCAAACTAGGTGTCATCCTCAATTCCTTACTCTGTCTCACTGCTCCAAGTCTCACATCCAATCTGTTGACAAAGCCTGTCAATTTTATCTTTATAATACCTCTCACATATGCTCCCTTCTCTCTTCTGACACTGACACAACCTTAGTGCAACCCCGTCATCACCTCACTCCTAGACTACTGCAGTAGCCCACTGTTGTTCTCCCTGCACAAGTTTCTTCCTACTCCAGCTCACCCTGTATTCAGTTAAACCCCAGGTCTAACCATATGACCATTCACTACTCAATAAACTTCAGAGGCTACCTATTACCTCCAGGATCAAATATAAAATTCTGTTTGCTTTCAAAGCCCTTTATAACCTGCTCCCTACCCTACCACCTTTCCAGGTTTCTTACATCTTATAACTTCCCTGCCACATACTCTGCTATCCAGTGACTCTAATATCCTTGTTGTTCCTCATATAAGACACTCCATCTCCCAACTGTAGGCATTTTTACTCGTTGCCCCCTATGGCTGGAATACTCTACCCCTCATCTCCTCCTCCTGGCTTTCCTGGACTTCCAGTTAAAATCCCCTTTACTACAAGAAGCCTTTCCAGATCTCCCCTAATGCTAGTGCCTTCCCTCTGTCGATTATTTCCAAGTATTCTATAGATATATATCTTATTTGTATATAGTTGTTTGCATATTATATCCCCATTAGACTGAGCACCTTAAGAGCAGGGGTTGTCTTTTGCCTTTCTTTGTACACCCACACCTTAGTAGACACTTTAAAAATATTTACTGATTGCCTTCCCTGAAACATCAACTCTTTTCCTTTAACAGTCAATAAATTATTTGGGAGTGGAAAGGATGGAGAACTGGAGGAAGAATGTGTTTTGTAAGGGGTTTGTTCAAATGCTTCTTTGACCATTGTCTTGTATAACAATAAAATATGTCAATTTTTTTTAATTCATGGCAGTACTTTTTTGATAAGGCATTTTAACTAAGTAACTAAAATAAATAAGTGCTTAATTCACAAAACAAAAGCTTACTCACCGAATCCAAAAAACAAAGGTAAGACCCGGAACTCTGTGCTATGGCTTGATTTTTAGAAAATCCAACTGTTGAGAAAAAGATAAACACTTCTTATTATTAGATTTCTATAGCTATTTGCTTTCAAAAAGCTAAATATGTCATATAGAGAATGTCAAATTAATACACCTGGTTGAAAACAGATGAGGGAATAGAAGGGAGAAAAATAAAAAGGGAAAAGAAATACTAGGTTTTCCTTTGGTTGGTTCCTCCCAGAACCTCCCTTTTAAGGAAAATGCCCAGACCAGTCATGCCTTCAGTCCTCTCCAAGTTCTGCTCCTGACTCTAAACTATCATGCCAGCGTACGACTACCATCCCCTTCCTCAACTCCTCCTCCTAAGCTGGACTAGGAAGAAACTTGTGCAGGGTGACCAACCTCAGTCTCCTTTTACGTGTTGTCTTTCCCACCCCATCCCCATTAAAATGTAAGCTCCTTGTAAGCTTTGCCATTAATAGCATACGTGTACTTCTCTATGTATTCAGTTGTAAAGTAAATTAGGATGACATAAGAAAAAATTAATAGATTGAATCAAGTACAATTCAGTCTCTCATTTAATAAAAATTATTAAGCACATATTATGTATATAGCACTATGCTAGACACTATTGGAGAGACAAAAGAAATAGGAAAAAAGTCCCTGATCTCAAGGAATTTATAACCTATTTGCAAAGTAAAAACACATTCTTAGGAAAGCTAAGCAAAAACAAGGCAGCAAGTGATGAAGTATAAAATGTAGATTAATAGTGCTACATGAATTCATAAAGAAAAATAACTGTGGGACAGAACAACAATAATAATAATTGCTAGCATTTATATAGTGCTCTAAAGTTTGCAAAGTGTTTTACACATGTTATCTCATTTGATCTACACAACAACCCTAGGAACTAAATGTTAATATTATTCCCATTTTATAGATGAGGAAACAGAGGCTGAGAAAGGTTGAGTGGTTTGCCCAGGGTCAGACAGCTAGTAAGTGACTAAGACAAGATTTGAACTAGAGTCTTCCTGATTCCAAATCCAGCACTCTGTATCACACTTTCCTTACATCATTATTCCTATTTCAAGAATTTCTAGAAGAAGTAAAACTTAAAATGGGAAAGATCTCAATGAGCAGAAACAAGGCAGGGAAAACAATTCTGGTCAGGGAAACAATTTGAGAAAAGATACAGAGATTGGGGGTGTGTGTGTGTGTGTGTGTGTGTGTGTTAAAGAACAGACTAATTTGGTTACAGTAGTGGGAGATAAAATTAGAAAAGTAGGTAAAGACGGACTGTCAAATGTCTTGAATACCAGGCAGGACTTTTATTCTGTATGTTATGGGGACTCATTAGATATTTTTATGCAAAGAAGTGACATCAATATTTATTAAGTGCCTACTATGTGCCAAGAATTATGCTAAGTGCTGAAAATAATAAAGGAAAAATCCTTGCTCTTGAAAGTTTATATTTTTATCATGGCAGACAACATGAATGAAAATTCCCCCTTCACCTTCTCTAACTGAGGCACCTAGCAGACCACTTGACTACTGGCTTAGAAGAGATGGGTGTCAGGGGGCAGTTAGGTGGTGCAGTAGATAGAGCATTGGCCCTGGATTCAGGAGGACCTGAGTTCAAATCCGGCCTCAGACACATAACACTCACTAGCTGTGTGACCCTGGGCAAGTCACTTAACCCCACTGCCTAACCAAATTAAAAAAAAGAAGAAGAAGAAGAGATGGGTGTTAGCAACTTTGAGGACAGCCTGGTCTTACCATTTACCCTACCACTGTCTCATATGGTCCTCCAGATCTTATCATTTGCTCTGCCTCTACCATGTAGACATTTGGCACTATCACTGCATCTTCAAGCCTTCTGGGTTTTTCCATGTGCCTTACCACTTAACTTTCGAGTGCTGGAAGTTAGAATGTAAACTGTTTTTATCCCTAGTGCATAGTGGAGTGTTTGGCACCCAGTAAGTAATAAATGCTTTATCATTTCTTATTCATTCATTGACAGTAATAGTTTTGTATGTAGCATATAAGAATTTTGTCTCCTTGTCTTTCTTGATACACAGCGATCTAAATTTTCCATAGCTGAACTGGCAGATAACTAGAGCTGTCTACACCAAAAGACGACCTGAAGTTGATTTGTCCATATTATCTAAAGAGTACTCGATACCATTTTTCTGCTTAGGTTTAATAGGGTAAAATACCATTGTTAAATTAGGACAGAAGCAGAAATGTTTGAGTCATCAAGTCATGGGCTAAATCAAGAATCCTATCATCTGTTTCTAGCTTTGTCATTAAGTTGCCTTTATCTGTCCAGTTGTCAAAACTTGTTGATTCTGCCTTCAAAACAACTCTGATATCTGTCCTCTGCTCTCACTCACACAGCCAATAATGGAATTCAGAGCCTTATCACCTTTCTAAGACTCTGTCCTAGTGTCTCTTCTCTTCTCTCTCTATATTACTTCACTTGGTGATCTCATCAGCTATCATGGTATAAATTATCTTTTTACACACATGAAACTGAGATTTACTTGTACAGTTTTGACCTTTCTTCTGACCTCCAGTTTCACATCTCCAACTGACCATCAGACACTTCAAACTGGGTATCCCATAGACACTTTCAACTTAATATGTCCAAAACTGAACTCAGCTTTCCCCAAAGATCCTCCCCTTTTCCTAATTTCCCTATTACTGTTGAGGGCAACACCATCTTCTGAGTTACTTAGCCTCCCAACCTGGGTGTCATCCTCTACTCTTCACTCTCTTTCACCCCTCCATCCAATCCCTTGTCAAGTCCTGTCATTTCTACCATCCCAATATCTCTTGTATATGCCCCCTTCTCTCCTCTGACACTGATACCAACTTAGTGCAGGCCTTCTTGGAGCCTGCTATTGCAATAGTCTTCTGGTTGTTTTCCCTCCCTTGTCTCTCTCTACTCCAATCCATCCTCCACTCAGCTGTTAAAATGAACTTCCTAAACACAGGTCCAGTAAACTCCAGTGGCTCCATATTACCTCCAGGATCAAATATAAAAATCCTCTGTTTGGCTTTCAAGGCCCTTCATAACCTTCCTATTCCTCCTCCCCCATTTTAGCATTAAAGGCTCTAAGCTGGCCTCCAATCTCATCTCCTATCATAACCTAAAACAAATACTCTACCCCAACTGGGCTAGATTCCTCAATATTTGTTAAACATATCAAGTTCATTCCCTCCTCAAATGCCCTAACCCCTTATTCCTACCATAATCCTGAACCAGAGGTTCAAGTCTCAGCTCAACCCCTACTTTCTTCATGATACCTTCTGATGAGGAATCTCTGGTTCATAATTCTAGTAAAATGAACACTCAAACTATAATATTGATAATTATACCTTTACTAAGATCCTCAAAAGATAGAGACAGCTTAGTGGAAAGATAACAAAAAAAGGCAATAGTTAATGCTGTATGAGTCATGGGATGATGGGTACATTGATGTTAGTAGCACTGTGAATTGGTATAACCACTTTGGAAAGCAATTTGGAATTATGCAAATTGGGTGACTAAATTGTCCATATCACTGAAAGTTTTCCAAAGTATCTCCAAAGTTACTATTGATCTCTTACTTGCCAAATCCAGTGGCCTTTTCTCAATCCTCATTTTCCTTGGCCTTTCTGCAGCCTTTGACACTATTGATCACTCTCTCCTCACTTTCTCTTTTCTCTCTGGGTTTTTGGGACACCACTCTCATCTGGTTTTCCTATCTATCTGACTGCTCCTTATCTCTCTTCTTTGCTAGATCTTCCTTATGGTCATGCCATCTAACTGTAGATGTGTCTCAGGGTTCTGTCCTGGGCCTTGCCTTCTCTTCTCTATATATATTTCTTCACTTGGTAATCCCATTGGCTTCCATGGATTTAACTGCTATCTCTATGCTGATGATTCTCAAATCTATCCATACTACTCCAATCTCTCTGCAAACCTCCAATCTCACAACTGCCTTTCAGACATCCTGAACTGGATTCCAGTAGACATCTTAAACTCAATATGTACAAAACAGAAGTCATTATATTTTTCCCTAAACCTCCCCTCCTACCCCAGTCCCTCAGGCTTGCAACCCAGGAATCAACCTTTACTCCTCACCATCTCTCACTCCCCATAGCCAATCTGTTGACAAAGCTTGTCAATTTCACCTTTGCAACATCTCTCACATATGCCCCCTTTTCGTCTCTGCCACTACTCTACTGCAGGCCCTCATCTCCTCATGCCTGGACTATTGTAATGACCAGGTGGTAGGTCAGATTGTCTCAAGTCTCTCCCCACTCTAATCCATCCTCTACTCAGCCACTACAGTGATATTCCTAAAACACAGGTCTAACCATATCAAACCTCTACTCAATAAATGCCAGTGATCTATTGCCTGTACGATCAAAAGCAAAATGCTCTTTGGTATTCAAAGCCCTTCATAATCTACCTCCCTTCTTTGAGTCTTCTTAGAACTTACTCCCGCAACATATACTCTTCAATCCTGGGACACTGGCCTCCTGGCTATTCCAACAACAAGACTCTCCATCTCTTGGGTCTAGGCATTTTCTGTGGCTAGCCTCCCAGGCTATTCCCTACAATGCTCTCCCTCCTCTGATCTGACTAATGACTTCCCAAGCTTCTTTTTGATGTCCAGTTGTTTTCAGTCATGTCTAACTCTTCATAACCCCACTGGGGTTTTCTTGGCAAAGATACTGGAGTGGTTTGACATTTCCTTCTCCAGCCCATTTTACAGATGAAGAAACTGAGGTAAACAGGGTTAAGTGACTTGCCTAGGGTCACACACCTAAGTGTCTGAGGCCAGATTTGAACTCATGAAGATGAGTCTTCCTGACTCTAGGCCTGGCATTGTATCCATTGTACCACCTAGCTGCCCCAAAGCTTCCTTTAAGTCCCAACTAAAATCCGTTGTTTTACTGGAAGCCTTGCCCAACCACTCTTGATTCTAGTGTCTTCTCTCTGTTAATTATTTCCCATTTATCCTGCTTCATCTACATATAATTGTTTGCATGTTATCTTCCATGTCATATTGTAAGTTCCTTGAGGGCAGGGATAGTGTTCGCCTCTTTCTGTATCCCCAGTTCTTAGCACAGTGCCTAGCATATAGCAGGCATTTAATAACTGATTAATAATTAATAATTTATTGAGCCAGATTCCATTGCTTGGCTTATACAAGACAGCCAGTGATAAAAAGAAAAGTTCCATGTACTCCAAAACATTTATAGCAGAACTTTTTGTGATAACTAAGAAATGAAAACAAAATAAATGCCCATAGATTTGAGGATAGCTAAACAAACTGTGGTACAAAGATGTAATGAAATATTACTGTGCTGTAATAAATTGTATATGTGATGAATATAGAGAAACATGGAAATATCTAAATGGATGGAGCCAAGAAAACAACATACACGACTACAACAATTTAAATGGAAAAAAAAAACACAAAAAATCAAAGTGAATGTTGCACATTGCGTGATGACCAACTACAGATCAAAACATACTATTTTAATTTTTTTTCCCTTCTCATGGTTTTTTCCTTTTGTTCCGATTCTTCTTTCACAGCATTACTAATGTGGAAATATCTTTAATGATTGTACATGTATAGCCTATATCAGATTGCATGCCACCCTGGAGAGAGGAGGTGGGGGGGATTTAGAATTAAAAATCTTATAAAAGTGAAAGCTGAAAACTAAAAATAAAAAGAAAATATTAAAATTTAAAAAGTGAATGTTGCAAAATTATGAAGATCAAGCATAACTTGAAAGATAAGATATGAGAGGGCACTCCCAATCCAACCTCATAGAGGGGAGCAGTCCACAGGTATTAAATACTGCACCTTTTTGGACTTTTTCAATATATTAATCAATTGTGATGATTTTTTCTGTCTTCTTTTTTCTTTCTTTTTTTTAATTAAAAAAATACTATTTATTATATGGGATAGCTCTCTGGGAAAATTGTGATGATATCAAAAACAAAAGACATCAATAAAGAGTTATTTTTTTAAAAAAGAACATTAAGATAAAAGTATAAGTATGCTACAATGTGTTTCTGTCAATACCTTGCAAAAGTCCTGCTTAGCAACAGCCTACATAAATGGTTAAAAAAAAAAAAAAAAAGTCTCACCGAGTCAGGAAAGCCCTCTTCTTTAACTGCTTTTATCTATTCACAGCTTCAAATAGAGTGAGGCTGCTTCAGTAGTTTTCCAAACATAAAAGGAAACATCAGGCTATGTATCTCAATGATCCTTCTAGCTTTCAAGGTGCTTCCATGACTTAGAAAATTTATTCCCTTCTTGTTTTCTACACAATTTAATTTTAACTGCCCACAGCCATTATGAAACAGTTAGGTGGTACAGTGGATAAAGCACTGGGTCTAGAGTCAGGAAGACCCAATTTCAAATCTGGTCACAGTCACTTAACCTCTGTCAGTCTCAGTGTCTTCAAGTGTAAAATGGAGATAATAAAACACCTCCCTCAGAGGGTTGTATGAGGATCAAATGAGATAATATTTGGAAAGTTCTTAGCACAATACACAAAAGGCACTAAATAAATGCATGTTTTCTTCTTTCCCTTCTGACTTTTTTTTAAACTGTTGCAGCTAGGGGTTAGTGAGAGTGTATAGACAAATGACTATCATATCTCCTCAACCATTCCAGCCCCTAATGATCTTTTCTTCTCCTGGACTCCCATGAAATCCCACAGAAATGGAAACAAGAAAGAAGAGGATTGGTCCAGACTCCTAATTTCATCTGTAGGAAATGCCTAAACTCTCTCTCCATCAATATAGATAAGTAGCTGGTAGTAACTTAAAATCTTGGAGTTGCATGGGGCACTGAGACGTTGAGTGACTTGCCCAGAAACACACAACTATTATGTGTCAGAGATAGAACTTAAAGCTAGGTCTTTCTGACTCCAACACCAATTTTTCTGTCCATTATGCCAGGTACTCATTATTAAAATATTACCAGACAGTTCTTTTCCCAGCTCCTTCTATCTAAAACATATATGTGTGTATGTATGTATATGTGTGTGTGTAAATGTATATGTATATATACACATACATGCACATACATACACATATACATATTCTGTATTTAATATTTGTTCAAAATTTTTGTTTGTTCAAAAACCTTGGGGGAGAAGGAAATCACCTTAAATCAGTAAACACAGGCCAGATACATATCATAAGACAGGTATGACTGATATCACGAATAGACCCTAAAAGGAAAGATGATACAAGAGTAATGGAAGGATTTTAAGAAATTGAGTCCACTCATCTTTCAGAACACATTTTTTTAAACCAAAATTTATATAGCAACCTATTAGGCTCCATTAAAGGAAGGATATATGTCTTATTATAAGTATAATATATGCTTATAATTTCATTTATTTATTTTATTCATTTATTTCTGTTATAATATGTTTATTATTTTGTATGTTTTTCTGCACACACAACTAGTGCTTAACAAATATCTGATGACATGAACTGCTCCCCTATTAACAAATGTTTAAATACAATCAACTGATATTCTAATAATCTACACATACCTCCTCGGGGAGAAGGAGAATCATGACCACCAATGATTACTCTGATGCCTAAAGCTTCTAACCTAATCTTCCATTTGTTAATTATATTCATTGACTTGTCCTGAAAGAGAGATAGCAATAGTACAGCATAATGAAATTCATAAAAAATTGTAACTTTAACAGATATATATATAACAACAAATGATAAATTAATAAATACCTTACTGGCATCATTGAAGATGGAAAGCTCCAAGGTGCCTTCAAAATCTTGTTCTAAAACAGACTGCAAACAGTCATCCAACCAACACTCAGCATTATGAACAGGAAGAATGATGGACTAGAATTTTTAAATTAAAAAGAGAGAAGTATGAACATTAAATTCCTTCTCCACTACTCAAAAAGAATAGAGAATCTAAAAATAAAAATTGTTATTATATATTTATATGAAATCAGTATTTGATAATTTCCAAATTATGAAACACTGAGGAAAGGAATCATTATTTAATAAGAATTATTGGAAAAATTAAACAGTATAGGGAGAACTTACTTTCCTTAAGTTATAGAGGTAATAAGAGCCCTTATTTGAACCTAGCTCCTCTGACTCCAAATCAGGATTCTTTTCATTACAGTACACAGGGTAAAGACTTAAATAAAGTGATGCAAAACAAAGAAAGTAAAATTAGAAACACACATACTGCAAAGCTACACATATATATATTTTTTTAAAGCAAAAAAACTTTATAACAGAAGAGAAATCAGAAGGGCACAAAAAGCAGGTAACTTATTTTTAAAGGTTTATATTTTTTCTTTACCAAACAAAATATAGAAATTCAAATTTTATGCAGTCTTATTCCTTATTTAGTTTATCTGTATTGTTGAGATTGTCATTGGTCTATCATTTTTATGATTCTGCAAATCAAAAGAATAACATAACCCTTTATTTCTCTGGCTTTCTGTTCACTTTTTTTTTTGTGGGTCAGGAATACGCAGTAACAAATATATCCTGCAGACAACAAAATAAACATACCCATATTAGCTCTGAAACCAAAGGCAAAAAAAGTGGGGTTTGAAGGAGGGGAAGGATGAAGGTAATGTAGAAAAAGAAGTAGGTCCTGAATAAAGGACACCAGTTTACAAAGTAAATTTCTCTGTGAACTACAAAGTTTATTAACCTGTACTTTGTATTACTATTACTTAAGAAAATGTTTTTTAAATGGGATAATTCACTACTTAGTCAAACGAAAACAATTCACATAAATCCTAAATTTTTTATAGTAGTACTTTTCTATTTCTCTACAATGTATTCACTGTAGGAACTTGAATTTCAGCTTGGCTTATAAAAAAAAGCTTCCTTATTTGTAAACCAACCTCATCAAAGAGCTTTCAAACTACAGAACAGACATTAATAACAGTAACAATTAACAGCTTACTCTTTCTTCCTTCTTTGTTGAGGTAGAGGACTATGGTGGTAGAACACAGTATACGTTGTCAAACATAATTAATATGTTCGTGAATTTTGCAAACTTTCCTCCCCTCTTTATTCTTTATTATAAGGGATAGTTCCATGATAAAAGAAGAGGGGTGGGATATGCTGGGAAATAAAGATGATGTAAAAACAAAAGACAGCAATATAAATCTTTAGCAATTTGCACCATAGTACCACAGAGATTCATGTAGTGTCAGATGATGCAAAAAGGTTAAAAAGAATGGCTTTCCAAAAAGGTCAGTAATTGAGTTCTTTTTTTAGCTTTTATTATTTTATTTTTCCCCAGTTACATGTAAAAACAATTTTTAATATTCGTTTTTAAAACTTTGAATTCCAAATTCTCTTCCTTCCTTCCTTCTCACCCTCCCTCATTGAGAAGACAAGCAATTCCATATAGCAGGCCTGCACAATCTACAGCCTTCAGGCCACTTTCAGCACCCAAAGGATTTCAGGTGGCCCATGAAAAATGTGGGCTGAGAACTCCAGAAGCAGACTGCTGCTTCTGATTCAGTCACTCCCAAGGCCTGTTCCTGGTTTGCTGTGGCTGGGGCTGCACCTGTCTTCGATTTCTGTGGGCTAAGAGGTCTGGAAACCACCATTGCTGTCAGTGATTCAGTCAGCCCGCTCCAGGTTTGCTAGGATCCAGTCTGCACTGGTGCAGCCTTTGCTGGACTGTACTCCTCTCTCACCCAGGTGCAACCTACCTTTCCTGCCAACCTTCCAAGTTGTCTTGGACTGGAAATTTGTTTCACTCCATCTTTTTGTGGATTCTGCTGCTCTAGAATTGGTTAGAGTCTTTTTTAATGGTATTTGGAGGGGTTTCGGGGAGAGCTCAGGTAAGTCCCTGCCCTTACTCCATCATCTTGGCTCCATCCCCAGTAATAAAGTCTTTAGTGCCTTAATTTCATTGGACAGGACTTAGAAGATCATCTAGTCAAGAGATTCTTAACTTGGAGTCCAGGAATTTGGTGTTTTATTTTGCTTTTTTTTTTTTTAATATTCTGATAATTGCATTTCAATATAATTGGTTTCTGTTATAATAATTTATAAAGTATCTATAAAATAAATAAATATAAATGATAAATTCATAATAGAAATAAATAAACCATTTATAAAATCCTTTATAATAATTTATAAATAATAACAACTCACACTTGTATGGCACTTTAAGTTGTGTACCTGGCTTTCTTCCCAAACAGCCCTGTGGGATGGTTAGTGCCAGTACTATTATCCACATATTACAAATGAAAAAGTTGAGAAGTCACAATCTAGGAGTTTTTTTGACTTGTTCATAATTGTACAGCTAATAAATATGAACCCAGGCTACCTGATTCCAAGTCCAATTTCCTAACTTCCCACACACTGGTGAAGAAGGAATGCTTATTGCAAGGGGTTGAAAAAGTAATATAAACTACTTTGAAAAGAAACAATATTTGCTATTTGAGGTTATAGGTAAACCCAAAACAAAAAAAAAATTTTCATGTTAAATTGAGAGTTAACAAGGTACAGTGGAAAGGTGATCAGGGCTTGAAGGCAGAGGATCTGGGTTCAAGTCTCCACGACATTTAAATAATGATACAACTCCAAGAAAATCACACCCTCCTTGGTATCTGTTTATTACTTTGAACAAACTAACCTGTTATTTGTGATTGTGACGATTTAGGACATATAATAATTTGAAGATGGTGTGGAAAAAAATTAAAATTCTAGTAAACACTAGTAGAAAACTCAAGTTAAATTCTATTCCAAAGAAATATTGTAGGGAAAAAAAAAAACAAAGCTGAAGTCCCCAGAACTTCAGATGGACTTTGAAAAGGGACACAAAACAAAGACATTTCTTTTTTTTAGTAGCTGGTTGTTTATTAATTTAGATGGTTCTTCCTTGTTAAATGCAAACATAAGTTTGCATTTATGTAAATTTCTGTTATTAAAATATACTTGACTTGCCTACCAATACTTAAAGAATTTAAATTATTTATTATACTGAATCACAGTGTTATTTTGTTGAGGTTAAGTAAAGATCAAAATGACAACACCTGGTAATCATACAGTGTCACAGAACCCTTATAGTAATTTCTAGGCTGCCCTAGAGTCTGTCTGGAGTCAATGGTTCCCAGGCAACCATTGATCTAAGTCATCTCTCAAAATCCTGCTAGAATGGGCAAATGATAATTAGTTTTTTAAAAGAGCTAAAAACTTATATTTAGTCCAGAAAAATACTAATCTGAAATCACATTTACTAAAATATTTAAAGTTCAGTTAGGTCTGTGTCAAGGTAAGATTGTCAAGTTTAAAGTTTAGCTATCTCTATGTCAAGATATGAATAATAAAACTCCTAATTTCTGGCAGTAAATAGTTGTTATAGCTGAAATCCCAACCTTAGCCAATATCAACACCAGTCACCTAATCTCAGCATTAACCAAGAGTATCACTGTCACTCTAAGATAACTATTCACATTTGAGTGTCATCTTTAAATAACAAACCAGTTATCAGAACGTCAAGTGTATGTGAGATATCTTTCTATCCTCAATGAATACACCAAAACCCTGATCTCAAAATTTAGCATTAGCTATAATTTGTTAGTTAATATGGTATCTCAAAAGTCTTAGGGCAGTTTTTTAAGCTTGCATAATTTCAGAAACACAAATGCTACAAACTTTTAAAATGTCATTTGAAAGTCTATTTAAATTTTTCTATTTATTTCATTTTGTAATTTTTAAATAATAAATTCTTAATTTTAATAAGACAGGTCACCTTATTATGCCTGAGTGTGTAACAATTTCTGTTGCTTCACTATGCATATTTGTTACAAGAGCTTTTCCTTTTTTTGTCTTCCTAATTTGGGGGGGGGGGTTAGAAGAATGTGGAAAGGGAAGAAGGGAAAGAAGGAAGGAGGGAAGGAAGTCATTGAGGCATTTTTTAAACGTAGAGAACAGAAGCAAAGACAAGCAAGACAATTTTGAAAGCTACAGGCTGCAAGTTGTACATATGTACAACTTTTTCTATTCTATTAAGCATATGGAAATGTCCATTTTGTTTGGTTTTGTTCAGAATAAAAATAATTTAAAAATAAAAAGAACATCATACTAAACTCATTTCCTTTTTTGACAGGATCACTAAAGTAGTACATGAGAGAAAAGCTGTAAATATAGTTTATAAAGATTTTAGCAAAGCTTTTAACAAAATATCTTGTAACTATTATTGTGTAAAAGACAGATATTAATTGGGTGACAGTCAAGTGTTATTAAGAACTGGTTGGATGGCTAGGCTCATAAAAGTTAATGGGCTCAGATTCTTATAATCTAGCCAATAACTCCCTAATGTTCAGACTCCTCAAGTCTGCCCAATATGACAGATCTTCTAATAAACCTTGTCTTTGGCTGACAGGCTTGGTTCGAATTTTTTCCAGCAGGAACTGCATGTTATCATATTGGGGTTCCAGCACCCCTAAAGCCCTAAACCTCAACATTTTGGTGTCCCGTACAGGGTAACTGCCTAACACCAAGTTCTTTAGCCAAGACTGGAAGGTATGTAAGCCCTTCTTCCCCCCCCCCTTCTTGCTCTGCAGTTGGGGTCGCTCTCCAAGCACCAAGGCTTTGGACGTCCTTTTCAGGCAGACAGTTATGAGGCTGTCTCACACTGGGCCTGACGCTCTCAGGCTCTCAGTCCACTGGTTTGGTTTGAGGCCATGGACCTGGGTACACTTTCGCAGCATAGAGGACAAGGAACTCCCTACCCGGAAGCATGTACCCAATTCTGTCAGTTATCTCAGCTCTAGGTAATTGGGGAAAACCGTAGTTGCTTTTTGGTTCCCTGAAGTTTACTTACTCACTTCCCTCTACACTCCTGA